TGTGCAGAGTTCTTAAAGCCCCAGATGAATCAAATCAATTGTTCAATCCCAAACTCCAGACGCCGTTGGCCTATTCGTGATAAGTAATCCCGAAGTGCTGTGCAGCGTATGCAATCGAACCAGTTCGATCCCCGATCTAAAGGAACTGTAATCCACAGATTTGTTTTTCTTTAGTTACATATCAGTTTTAAGTGTATGAAACCATTTGTGTTTCTTTAATACCGCAGCAGGAGCCTTACGACTAGCTGTATGCGACTAATAAAGGAATCGTGATCAATGCAGCAATCAGACACGGACCTACTTATAGAAAGATACCGTATCCTCCGTCAATTTATGTCAACTGCATTCATGAGTACATCCTCGATATCCAGGGGTGAGGCTTACTTTCGCTCTCTATACACCTGGCATATGTCATAGCAAATTTGAAGGCTTAGTGTGCGCCACCTTGTTGATGAGACAAGAAGACTAGTAACAGAAAGCAAAGGGTAGCTTTGGGCGGGAAGTTTTCAGATCTCAAAAATATTACGGCAGGGGTTCCGCAGGGATCAATACTTGGGTCTTTATTATTTCTTGTTTACATAAACGATATTATTGTTAATCTAAGATGTAAAGTTAAACTTTTTGCAGACGATACATCTCTTTACATAATAGTGGGCGATCCCAATGTGGCTAGAAATATGTCAAATAATGATTTTAATACTATTCAAGAATGGGCTGATAAATGGCTGGTAACTTTTAATCCAAACAAAACCGAAAGTTTACTTATTAGTCGTAAAGTTTTGAAACCTGACCATGGTGATCTTTACTTAAATAATAGTGTTATTTCTGAAGTGTCTAGTCACAAACATCTTGGTATTTGGTTTTCGTTAAATCTTTCATGGCATGTTCATATAAATCATATGATAGAATCTGCTTCAAAACGTCTGAATGTATTAAGAAAATTGAAATTCAAACTTGATAGAAATTCTTCACAAATAATGTATTTATCATTTGTTAGATCAATTCTGGAATACGCTGACATAGTCTGGGACAATATACCAAATTATCTAAATGAGAAATTAGAAAGTGTGCAACTAGAGGCAGCCAGAATCGTTACAGGGGGTACCAAATTATCTAATATAGAACTTCTATATAGAGACACCAAATGGTAACAACTAGCAGATCGTCGTAAAAAACACAAATTAATACAGTATCATAAAATGGTCAACAAAATATCGCCGAACTATCTATCTTCTCTAGTCCCTTCAAGAATGTCCGACAATCATACGTACAATACAAGAAGATCCGACTTACATCAGAGTGTACAAACACGAACAAACTTATATAATGAATCCTTTTTACCTTCTTCAATTCGCCTCTGGAATGAACTACCGCTAAATATTAGAGAAAATTCATCAGTTAAGGTACTAAAAACACATCTTGATAATAACAGTATAAGACATGTACCAAACTATTTTTATACTGGTAATCGCAAAGGTCAAATACTTCATGCTAGACTCCGACTTAAAGGTAGCTCATTAAACCAACATTTATTCCACAAAAAAAACTTTCTGACTCACCTTGTTGTGTTTGTGGCTTTCTGATAGAGGACAGCTTTCATGTTTTATTTACTTGTGTTGATTATTCTCGTAACAGACAGCAGTACTTATCTGATATAATCTTAAAATACAATATTCATGACAATGTAGATGTTCTTTTAAGGGGTGATCCCACACTAAATGCTAGGGAAAATGCAGAAATATTCATTTCCGTGCAGAACTTTATCGTCAACAGCAGCAGATTTTCCTTTACACCACTGAGGTAACTATTTCTATGTGATTCCTTAGGAATCTTTATCAATCAATTTTCCTTTTATTCTTTACTAAGTAACAGCTCGTTGTCAATGTCTTTTACTACGAATCAAATAATGTATAGCTACTATTTTTTCATTATTTAAATGATGTTTTGTCCGTCTCATCAATGATGTGTTTAAATGTCCATGTACATTGCTGCAACTGTACCTATCAGTGCAGCGGCCGGTATGGGCAGCTTTCAAGTATTTGTAATGTTCTTCATTTTGCCCTCTTGTAATCATAAATACCATTATAGTTCACGAAAATGTGGATAAGTACACATGCAACGAAAAATTCAAGTCATGACACATGGCTTGAAACATGTACATGCAATGTAAATTTTACATTTCCCTATACGTGTATGCGTAATCGTAAGTTGACAAAGCGCGCAAACAACAAGTCTCCGAAAAAGATACAATGTTGTATACACTGCTTTTGATATCAAGGACGACACCGACCTCAAACGTTCTATCAACCAATCGACGAGCCAGATACAGTGAGTGACACGCTGAAACAACCGTTCGGTTTGTTGGCGTGTTCTTTTTGAACACGACTTGTTGACGCCGTAACGATTTTGATTGTATAGCTTGTTTTCCGATCCTCGTTGTATCTGTACTGTATTGTAATGTAGTGTGCAAGTGATGAAATAAAATATTGTTTAAACTAAGACTAGTTCGATCCTTTGAAATACATCAAAAAAATCTCGCGGTCACTTAACGGTAAAATTGACAGGCTTTGAAGTCGGGCGTCTCTCCTTTGTAATCTTCAAAGGACAGGTATCAGCCTAGCGATTGGTCAGTTTTTTTTGACACGAGATCAATCAAACAGCTATCTTCGTGCATTAAAGTTTGCTATTACATATTCCAGGGTGTATAGAGCGAAAGTGAGCGTAACCCCTGGATATCGAGGATGTCATGAGTATGACGTAGGGTAGTACTCTTTGAAGTATACATGCATATATATAAAATCCTCACAGTTTCCAGTGCAAATCATCGATGTCTCTTTTTAATTTCTTATACAAGCCCCAATTGGCACTTAACGCAGCGGTGTACAAATCCTTCTACTTGCATATCTCCTTTCAAAAAGAGTTATAAACCGGTAACCCTGTTGCTATGAAGCACTATGCTAATATGGCCTTGCTATGAAGCACTATGATAATATGGCCTTATTATCTAAGCAAAGAAAGACGTACTCAGCACAGGTGTATTGGTAATACTTAGATTATTGTTCACGAAATTAGTAAATCAAGGGAGTTAAATCTTACTTTTTTTTCTCTAATTCAAGTTTGTACTTTAACATGTTTGGAACTAATATCTAAATATTATTTTGGAATAACAGCAGGATTTGTTTGGTTGATGTTCAAATTCAGCGCAGAGATGAACAAAATGAATATATGTGTACGTGCCTGATTTTTTTTTATCTTAATATTATTACATATTTATTGATTGGTTAATAGCATTGGTTAGTAAGATACACTCGGTTTAAACCTGCAAAACCGTATAGCTTTTGAATACAACATATTTAAGGTATAAAATACGAGAAATAATATGATACATGTATTTCGCATACGATCACCCCCCNTTTTGTTTAAATACCCACACATGTTTTTAATTCATTCCGAAAATAGGCTTATTTTTATGAAACAACGGCGTAACAAAAAAAAAGTTCCTGAAAAGAGCCCGAACGAATACTCATTAAATAAGATTCTATGTCGACAATAAACAAATCAAATATTAATGTGATTACAAATTGAGTTTTTATCAAAGCAAGAAAGATCGTACCTTGATTTTCATATTCAATATGTGTACGGCTATTGAGAATTAGCTGCATTAGCGTTTTCCATATACGTCTCTGCATTTTCTAACTCCTACGTACCGATACAATTGTAAAAGATCTGAAAATTGTTTAAACTACATGTATCAGCATCGATTTGTACGAAAATGAATGATATAGGAGAACAAGGTCCCATAACAAAGGAGTGTGCTATTAGTCTATATGTGTGTATGGATAATAGATCATCTAAGATACAGAAGCGATGGAATAACATAATTTAATAATTGAATAGGGGTCTCCTATACTAATATATGTATATATTAGTATAGGAGACCCCTATTTTTTTTATGTTACAAGTAAAGCTATCCATGCCCCTGTGGACGGAGCAATATATTGGGTCGTCTTGGTCCCGGGAGATATTAATACTCTTGTGAAACTCAGCCTCATTTCTTAAATATACTGAACTAATCAAAAGCCCAAAAATAGATAATATTGAAAGACAGTATAACATCAAGGAAGATTGACCAATTTGCACACGGTTAGTCTGTACGTCTATGACACTAGACTGACCACCAGTCCCTATAAGTTTTTATGAAGAATTTCTCGACTGCATTTTAATACTAGCTTATCTCCCCCTAGTTTAGAATCGGACATCCAAGTGATCAGAGTTAATCTTTTTTCTTAATTTTTCAATATTCTAGAGACGGTGGCCGGTCTCTACTCTGACACAGGGACTTGAGAATTTGTTACAGCTATATTTGGACCTAAACTAATTAAGGTGTTCAGAGTAAATTGACATGTTTTTGGGGTTTATACATCATCATTGGGTGGTGTCATTTTTACCGAAAGCTTTTCTTAATCCCTTAAACGTGTAAAATTACTCTTGACACTTTAGTTTAGGTCCATAATCAGAATCTGTAACAAATGTTCTGGTCCCTGTGGTCTGTGATCAATAACAATTATTCTCCTTCAATACCTGTGTGTAAGCATATTTTGTAAAAGACTCATTCATCGCTCCTTTATGAAATTTTCGTTAATGGCCATGACCGTTATTTTGCTACCGTTGTCGGATTAACTAAACAAAGCCGCAGCGCACCTGTTCACAGGTGAGATTCTAATCACGATCATAGAGCGCGCCCTCTGTTGTCAGTGGATAGCATTATTTACGACATCAAATTATAAGTCCATGTTTACAGATTTAATTAACCATACAGATTAAATCAGGCATAATATTACACATTTATATATATATAGTTATCAACATAATACTCATAACGAATAAAAAAAGCTGTTTCATCGTTTTACCGGTTTTGTGTGTTCATTTACGACAGCCGGAAATGCCGTTTTCCGCGCGATTTTCAAGTGAAGGTAGATGTGTCAACTATGACTCACCAGCAGTAATGTTTGATTAATGCTTCTGGTCTCGATCAAATAATCAAACAGCGACAGTCTGCGCGGGAAACACAACAGCAGGAAGACTAAGGTAAAGCCGACAATTCACGTCAAAGTTGTGCTATTAGATGAGTATACTTCATGTTTTGAATCACATAGATGTCAGCTGTTTACACCAACAACATCATCGAACGAGAGACAGAGTTCGATCTGTGATCAATCTCATGATACCGCGCGATGTTTAGGCGCAATATTTATTATTACAAAAAAAAAATGCTTTAATGCAAAATTACACTTCTTATATTTATGGAATAACGAGACTTAATATTGTTGATTTGTACAGTTGTATTCTCGTACAGTACACATTTCGTAATCGTATCGACTGTTTCATTTACTTTCAACTGTTCAGTGTTTATGTTGTATGCCATGGTGAAGATCCATAAGTCTACCTGTGGCTATTTACATAAATCGGTACATCACTGCCAGATGAAGTCCGTTAAGGAATGACCGTCGGCCAATATTTTACCTGTAATTAGTTTCTAATTGCTAAAGGGTTACCATGTTACGTAATAGATGGCTTCACACCTTTCATGATGCTTGATTGATTGACACACCTGGGTGGCCAGGTGATCAAGGCGTTACCTGTGCTTAATTAGGGAACGGTACACATGCGGTACACATGCTGTCTTTGTAGTATGGCTCGCCTGAATTTGAACCCATGGTTTTAGTGAATTTCCTGTTGAGCAGAAGTAATACAAGGATTCATTATTCTCAAACCCTACTTGATAGATTTGTACTCAATATCATTAGGCTTATATATAATTCCGTGATATAATGTATTTGTTCATAAGGGATAAGAAAGATTGAGGAATATAACTATATGGTTATGTTGTATAACTGAATAACTGAGAGAGAAAAATCCAAACCTGTACCATGCCTTTGCACGCAGAAAAACATTAAGTTGAAAGTTGTACTTATTTTAAGGTAAGTATGAAAATCTATATGAATGTTATAAACATATAAGATTCTGGTTTACAAATAAATGGTACGTATGTTTATGAAGATTTACCGACAGCACAAAGCATGGATCTTTTCCAGGTGTTTGTCAAGGGGTTCTGGGAAACCAGTGGTTTTTCTACTTTCCACAGGGGTCTGTGCCTATTGATTTGGAAAAAAGATAATGAAATGAAATTGGATATAAAATCATCAACTAGGCTGTTTGTCTTTTATTTAAGTCGACTGTATCTTTAATAAAAGTTACAACTGAACATGCATGATCATCATTGGTCAATCAGGAGGAATTCATTTAGGTTTATGCTTTTATTTTAGATGTTTTAATTTGGGAACTTTGCAAAGGGTGAATGGGGAAAGTCACACACTTTATCAATTGGAATTGGGTCCTTTAAATGGACCCAAAATGTGCCCTGATAAACCCCTGAATTCCTGTTAATATTACATTTATATACAAGACACTGGCATCAATTTAAAGCTCACACAATTTCAACCAGATGTCTTAGAAATTGTATTTTTAATATCACACAGGATGAGGGAAAATGTGACATCGCTATAATCCTGACCGCTAAATAATCCCATAATGGCACGAAGACGCAGTGACAATGTGGAACGTTCAATGACAGAGTTGGAGATCCAGATGAGGCGAGGAACTCCAGAGAAATGTATCCTGCTCTCCCACAGCGCCCCGTCAGTGCAAATGTTCTACGCACTTAGAATGAGACTTGAATCAAGCAGCGAGGTTTGGTTACAAGAGTTTCTGGATCTGGATGGCCTTCAAAGTCTACTGGCCTCCCTCTGTCAAATGACCGGCCGGGGTTTCACAAGTTTCTCCGATGCCATCTTTCAGTTGGACTGCATATCGTGCATCCGAAACATTCTGAACACCCATGTAGGACTTGATTTCATGGTCAGAAACGACGGGTATACCTCAAAGCTAGCTCTGGGTTTGTATTTATGATCTCTAAATAATGTTTTTTTTACTGCTGTAAAGATAAATATCAGTTTTTTTTTTATTGCAAATGGAATGTTGTACGTGTACATTGGTTTTTCTTTCTTTTGTTCTTTTGGGTTATATTGATAACACAGCTCATTAAAATTTTGTCAGTGTATTGCCATATTCTTTACAACGTTGGAACATGAAAATGCTGGCGTACCCCAAAACATAGTCTGAATTATTCTGACGTTTTATCGACATTTTTTATATCAGTCTGTTGTCAGTTATCGATTAACTGATGACAGACCGATATCAAAAAGTTGATAAAAAATCAGAATAATTCGGACTACCCAAAACAGAGTTCTAAATAGCTTTCATGGGTATTATTATTTGCATATAAGTCTTCTTAATGTTTTCTCTTGACACATTTTTTCTGAAGAAATTATCTCTATTATCTCTCTTACACATAAAACTCAAAATAGCATACATGTATATCATCGTAATGTTTTAAATTGCCAAAGCATGTATTATGTACCATTAATGCTTCAGTAAACGCTATGATCTAAGTGTAAGTTAAGTGTATTTCTCATAGTTTTCAGTTGTTGTCGTTAATTTCTCTGTAAGAGTTTCACAATTTTTTTAAACAAGCTACAGACATCTATGGCCAGCCGCAGCCCACTGGTCTTTTTTGTGCTTTTGTTTTATAGAAAGTTCAGTTATAATGAAATCAATTTGGCACTAACGTAGCAGGTGTTGATATTTTTATAGCAAAGCCACAGTTCAACTTTGAAATAATTTTACCTCCCCCCCTAGAAAAAAGTTTGTTACATGTGAAAATGAGTTCTGGTGAGCATTCTAATTATTTTGGCTACTGCAAAGACTTACAAATGTTTACAGATTGAGGATGGAGCATTCATTGTAAACAAAATTTCATTCAAACATGTAATTGACTTGGACCAATAAGTAATTTATAATATAGATCTATTTGTTTATGTATGCAGTTTATTTGGAGCACTTACCCATACTTAAGTAAAGCAAATGTTTTTAAATCTAACGGCAAAATTCAAAAAATGCAAAAAAAGGAAACCTTCAATTTCTTTTCCACAGCTTTGAGCATCAGCAACACATTACCTAAGAAGCAGATTCTAGAGATGATGTCAGCTGTTTGTGCCTACAGTAACCTAGGTTACCAGGCAGTCCTCACCGCACTCAACACCTTCAAGGTACAAATCACAACTCTCATTCATTTCAAACAGATGAAACATATTTCATCTGGAAACTTTGGTTTCTGATAGCAATTCCTGATATTTCAATTAGGTTAATTTGTTTGTTTAGGGTTTAAAGTCCTTCCAACAGTTAAAGATCATAAAATATAAAGACTGAACTTAATTGATAACGTATACATGTGCATTTCAGTAGTATGTAAACAAGAGCACATGGCTTGATTAAACCTGTATTATTCATTTGAAATTCTTAAGGGAGGTAACTCTAACACAAATATTGAGTATAACAGTAATCATGCCTAATTCTAATCTCATTCTTTCAGGGCTTTCAGTAAACCTTCGAGATAATGTTTTTGACTCCAAAAACTGAGTTTGACTCTTGGGTGTTAGAGGACAGGTCTATTCGACATTTGATTTGACTCTCTGAAGTCCATGGAAATTCTATCTGACTTCATTACATTGCTAAATGTCTGGGTCATCTGAAAGCTAAAAATGCTATGTACAATTCTAAAATTTTATTATCTTTTATAATTATATATAGAAAGAAATGGACCAGACTCATCGCTTCAGCATTATCATCAATGAGCTCAAGTCGGCGGAAACCGTGTCCTACAAGACGGCCATACTGACCTTCATCAACAGTGTTATCAACTGTACTGCAGATGTGGTGGAACGTAACCGTCTCAGGAATGAATTCAATGGTATGGGGTCATCCAAAATTAATAGTGACAAGTCTCTGAAATAGGACACCATTTGTAATCGTCAATGCCATGATGCTGTTAGATTTAAGTGACAAGTTACAGAGTATCTAGATCTGTTATCCTTGAAGCTAAAATCCATGTTTTTGGTGACATCTAAATTATATATGCACAATCCCTCCTGTAAAATATCTTGGAGCAAGATCTGTTTAATATTATAAGACTAACATGCACAAGAGTGTAGGACAGGGAAATTCCAACCGAGGGGTTTTCAAATTTGGTAAAATATAAGGCTTTGCCCAGGGTTTTGCCAACTTTGAAAATCCCAATCGGTAGAATTTCCCTATCCTGCACCCTTGGGCATGAAAGAGTATTTTTCTCTCATCCCAACCACCAGATTAAGCTCATGATCAGAAACCATGAAAATGCGTTTGGAATGGCCACCATTTTGAAAATATTGATTTTCCCCCTGAATTAGCCAGCCAGATCGGCATATCCCATATTTGCAAACAATGTTTGCGCAGAAAAATGAATCACACCTTTCTAACATGTACAGTAAATCTATCGTAAAAGGTTTTAATTTCATCATGTCGCCTTTTCCGCATTGTGGCATCGAAGAGTTCCAAATTCGTCACGTCACGTCATTGTTGAGCCATTGTCACGTCATGTGAATTCGGGTGTAAGATAGAAATTTCCTACACCATTTTTTTACCCTGGACAGCTATATCTTTTACACACAGGGAAATGAGAGAAAAAGCTATTCAGTGTGCATACTGAAGTCTCATCAAATCAAATAAAAAACATTTGTAATTCAGTGGGACCCGTATGTTTCAAAGATATATCTACGTTATATTATCATTTTGATGTAAAACTTGTCTGCTTATTTAATTTTTGGTGTCCAACTTTTAAAATGATAACAGTGTTACAGTGGGATATACCCCAACAAGAATTATTTTGGAATACCACAGACTTCAATAGTAATTTATGGATATAGTCTCGATGTTCAATATTCTTTTAATATTTGATTTTTTTTTTATATTATTGAAATAAAAAACTCGGTAGATGTGAAAAAGACTAACCCTTGTATCCTGTCAGTTGTTGATGGGTTGATTGAACTCTAGAAATGATGTGTGAGGTTCATATCGAGGATCAAGGATCTGTCTCTATTCCTTCAAATGCACAATTTGTCCCTTCATAAGACAGTCTTGTACAATATAACAGACACAGGTTCAAACTTCTGGTGCTTCTATTCAGGACTGAACTTGCTTGACATACTATCATTTCTGAGGAAAGAGGAGGGTGATGATGCCCTTCACCTACAACTTCAGGTAATGTACATTGTCATTGACGGTAAAGAAAAGTCTTACTCTACAGCTTGATATGTTTTAGTTTTGGTGAAAGTCAAGTTACTTAAAATAGGCATGTTATTTAGGTGATTATATAAATTCACAAAGCTCACACAATGTCAGATTTAAAATTGAACTGATGAAGCATTGTAATATATTTTAAACTTTAAGGCCACAGAGGCTAGGGTGTCACCTATGTTAGACAACCACACTTGGTTATCAGGCTACTTTCTAATAATACATGTTTGTATTCTTTTCATTTCAAATTTGACAATACATTATTAGGGCCCCGTATCGGAGATACGGGTGCCCTATAGTAATCACTCTGTCTGTCTGTCTGTCCACATATTTTGTTCATGGCTGATAACTTTGGTATTTATTGACTGATGTACATGAAACTTGGTCAAGATGTTCAGTTCATAAAAATACACATTGAGGTAAAAAGTCAAGGTCAAAGGTCAAGGTAATTAGGTTCAAAGGTCAAGGTCAAATTTTACATCTTTTCACCAATGAACATTTTGTTATGACATTATGAAGCAAAGTTGATCAGAATTAAACACGGAGTCAACTGACCAAAGGTCAAGGTCATCGGGTCAGGGGTCAAGGTCAAATTTTGTAGCTTTTCACTAGTGAACATTTCGCTATGACATTATGAAGCAAAGTTGTTCGGAATTAAACAAAGAGACACACTGAGGTAGAAAGTTGAGGTCAAAGGTCAAGGTCATGATATTCAAAGGTCAAGGTCAAATTTTGCATATTGTCACTGATGAACATTTTGTTATGACATGATGAAGCAAAGTTGATCAGAATTAAACAACGAGTCAACTGACCAAAGGTCAAGGTCATTGGGTCAAAGGTCAAGGTTAAATTTTGTATCTTTTCGCTGGTGAACATTTCGCTATGACACTTTGAAGCAATGTTGCTCAGAATTAAACAAGGAGTCAATTGATCAAAGGTCAAGGTCACTTGGTCAAAGGTCAAGGTTAAAATTTTGTACCTTTTCCCTGATGAACATTTTGTTATAACATTATGAAGCAATGTTGTTCAGAACTTCACAGAGTCAACTGACCTTAGTTCCAGGTTACTGGGTCCAAAGGGTCAAGTTCAAGTTTTGTATTTTTCACTGATGAACATTTTGTTATGATATTAAAAAGCAAAGTCGGAATTAAAGAATAAGTCAACTGACCAAAGATCAGGGTCACTGGATTAATGGTCAAGGTCATTTGGGTCCAAAGGTCAAAGACAAAGTGGATCTCTGACTTCGACCCCGGCTCTTGATGGAGAAGGTATATAAAGTGAAATAAAACAAATCAAAGCTAACAAATGAGTATTGCACCGGTAATCACATTTCTGTTAGCCCAGCAAATATGGAGGTGGAAGGAAACACATCACATCATAGTACATGTAAAATGTATATTTTGCTTCCTTGCGATTCTTTTTGAAGTCCAAATGTCAAGTTAAGCTCAGCTATATGGGCAGATTGCTTCTTGATGATTATGGGGGATATAATTGCCACAAGACGGGGCCCTTACTGACCTGTCGGTGTTCTAGTTTCCTTTTACATTTCCATCTACGATTTACCTTGTTTTTTTGTAACCTATCAGGTATTTCATGAGAAGAAGCATGCTGATGAAGAAGTGCTGTACCAGGACCACTTTGTGGACTTTAACAGTCCCGAGGACCTCGTGGATCTCATACAGAGCAAGGTCAGGCTATACTTCCCTATGTAGGAAGCTTATTAAAAGAACACTGAAAACATGACATTTTTTCTTCATCACCTTTATTGGTCAACATTTTAGGTTATTACCATCCAAAGTTATACGCATTCAAAAATCATGATGGGAAATCTGAAATGTTGGGCCCCCACCCTACCCCCTTCCTCCTATTAAATTAGAAAAGCCCAATTATTTAGATAATTTACAACTGTGACTTATTATTTAGTGAAATTCAAACATAGTCCTAACAGCTCTTAAGATATACTGCAGAATAGACTATATAGTTTGTCTAGGTTTAACTTTATATTTTTAAAAATGGAAAGCAGCTGCCAACGGTTTATAGTTAAATATCCGTAATTATTTCCATAAGTCCTCATAAATATTTGGTGATAAATTTACAAGTGTCCATAATCCAATGCACTCCCCGAAATATTGTTTACATTCGTGACCACCAAACACAACATCTTGCAGGATAATCGAGAGAAAAAAGGTCACGTGATGTAAAATGTGTAGTCTGCACCTATCAAAACATCTCTTATAAATAGATATGTTTGAATTTTAGCGGTAATTAATTGGATTACACAAGTGTGGTGTGCTATATAAGCAGCTAAGCAGATGACAGGTAACACCAAAGTCTCTTGTCGCCTGTACTCATTTTTGGTCGGGTGTACACAACAAAGGTATAGAAAGAGTTGAAGGGATAAGATTTGTACATTCTAAATTGAGGAAGATAAAAACTATTGTTTTATCAATGAAGAACAGTTTTTAATATCAAATATAATGACTGGATGAAATATTATTTTTTGTTTCAGATATTTGGAACTCCAAAGATGGTCTCTTTTGTGAACATCCTGCAAGATCTATTGGCGATAGACAGCGTCTACAACAAAAACAGGTATTGAGGCAGTGACCTTTTGTTTAAAAATGTCTAAGAATGGATCTCGTAGAGTAGAAATTAGCTATTCATCTGATAGAATAGCAGCCAAGAATCTGTAATTGATAACATGTTTAAAACCCTATTACAAACTGACAGGGATTTCTGTACCTGATACCTGTAAGTTTAGTTAAATACTATTGTTTTAGCTCTATTGTTTTCATGTGACCCTGGCTGTTGCAAGGATGCTAAACCACAAACAAGTAATTATCTCAATGTTAAAATAGAATTTTACAGCCAAATATTAGTTCTGTTGCCATGTTTTTAGACTTGACCCAGAAGGATGTGTTTAACCTGTTTTCTTCTATGATCTAGCTATTAAAACAGAGATTGATGTGGTATGTAGATGTTTAGTGGCCATGGTGTGTGGTTATAAGTTATCTAACAGTGTTGGAATGATCAATGTATACATATTATATATATATTATATGTGGTATATAAACCGGTGCATTGTTTCTGTCCATCGCTTAGGCCAAATACAAATACATGTGTGTTTCCTGTTTCGGCTCCCAAAAAAATAGGCTAGGTAGATAGTAAAAACATCTTTTTCAATTTTTTTTTAAATTTTCTGGTGAAGAGAATCTCCTGTCAGATTACCTCCGTGAATATTAAAATGTGTATTTTCCTTACGGCGCATGCTTGACACTAGTTTTTAGTAATTCAAACTCCACTGATGGTCACCAGTGTTACATTCACTTTTGTATTACTGGTTCCAACTGTTCTCAAATACGACTGCCACCAGTTCAAATTGATTGAACAACAAAATAAGTAAATTTATATTTACACCAAATTTACATCACAAAGTTTTAATCCGTCATAAAATATACAAGTCTTCGCTATTGTGAACTCATTTTCTCCACTCCAAACTTATCTCCAACTATAAACTGTAAAACTACATATTTACAAACTACAGGTAAAACTTCTATTATTACTAACTTCCTAATTCTCACTTTCATAACTTTCTAACTCTCCTCTATATCTCTAGACCTCTCAACTCTGTCTNTCAACTCTATTCTCCTTCTTTGACTCCCAATAGCTGAACTACCTTACTATAACTGTCCATTAGCAAAATCCTGCTGCATTAGAATTGTTGATGCTGCTAAAATCCTGTTAAAATTTGACGCCTACATGACTAGGTTCAAATGGCCATCCATTTATCCTGCTAAATTTGACTTTGGGTGGGGGTCGGGGGTGTTAGTATCAGCTAACACTGACAAACCGGATTCCCCCCTCCCCGACTACAGATGGTCACACTAATCTACAGATCCCAACCTATATCATAATCATGGGTCGGTTGGGAAACAGGAAACACAGGCAGAGTAAATTTTTATTTGGCCTTATATAGCATTGCCATTCTACAATAACTTGTTATCGAATCATCCTCACCAATCATTCATCCATTAAGTTAATATTGGTACATCAAATATTCATCCATTAATTTAATATTGGTACATCAAGTATTCATCCATTAATTAAATACTGGTCCAAGTATTTATCCATCACATCAAGTTAATAATGGTCTATCATGTATATTGATCCATTAAGTTAATACTGGTCCATCACATACTCATACATCAAGTTGATGCTGTTCCGTCAAGTATTCATCAATCAAAATGATATTCATCTGTCAAATGTGATTTTTATATGCTATATATAAATGTATATATTGAACATAAAATTTGTCTCGAAAGATCATTCTAAAGATGGCCAGGTTACTTAGTGAGACCTGCTGCATTCAAGAAAACTTACGTAGTGTGACATAGGCATGTTTCAACAGTAAAATCTGTATTCACCCACTGTGCCATTTCATTGGCTCTTTACAACAGAAATGGCATGTAGATTTGTATATAAAGCTCTATATTAATTTCTGAGGAATTTACCTTCAATTTGTGAGGAAAATGTCCTGTCATACAGTGTCAGATCACCTCTTTAGGTTGGAAGGGTTAGTCTCACAAGATTAATTGTATTGTATAAAGTATTCATTAAGGTTCAATTTCATTAAGTGGTGTGTACTAATTATAAATCTACCTGTTACTGCAGTCAACTGTGATATTGTCACCAGTTGCTGAAATCGAAGGACAAGATCAAAGTTATGGCAGGAATAGTGATATTGTAGTGAAATGATTTGTTGTAAAATGGTTTCAGGGTAACACTAAATGCTTATTAATTGACTGCAAACAACATTTTAAAAAGATACAGCTCTCTTTATATAACATGCATGCTAATTTTACTTGGAAAGCAATGACATGTAACAATCAATGAATAAGGAATCAGGGAAATCAGATTTGGGTTCTGGACACTTGACAATAGTCTGTTTTTCCCTGATTCAAGACTTAAACATTAAGACAATAAAGATGCATGCAATAGAGAAAGTGTAGGTATTTTTAGACAAAGTAAAGGAGTTGTAGATTTAGAGACGACAGCCTGGTTATTCAAGTTATCCAATGTATTACCTAATGGGTGTTTAGTAAAGCATACATCATTCTGAAAATCAAGCACAATTTGCTGAATTAAGAAACATCACAGTGCATCCCTTTGACAGACTGCAGTAGCAAAACTGATTTCTTATCTACATTAATGTCTCATAAAGTTAAATAATAAAAAAAGTGTTGTGTTGCCGCTATAAACCTTACCTACCCTAGATTTTTTTGCCTATCCTAAAGTGTTTATTGGCATTTAGTGATGTGCACTGTTAAAGTCCTGCTCCATATAAGCATAGTAAAAATATTTTCCAAAATTTAAAACATTGCCTACTCCCTACCCAATATTTTTCTGAGGATGATAGCGGAAACACAAGATTTTATCTTTTTGGCCTAAAATTTAACCACTTGGATCTACTATGAAGATAAATTTGTCATACATATAGTGATGATCTCGCAGTTGTTTACTTTTTTTTAACATTTTTTTTCTTTCTGGTAATACAGCACAAAGCTTTGGAAAAACATTGACAACCTGGTTCACCAAGCCATTCATACCTGTGGTTACGACGAAGTTATGTCTTCCTCCAAGAATGACAAGCTGACCCTTGACCTTTTACCCGATGACTGTGACCTTGGCCTTCAGTACATAACCAACTACCAGCTGCAGTCAGATTTTGTGCCAAAGATGATGGTCGGGTCAATGACAAAGTCGACTGACATCAAGGGTATGTCACAGTTGAATTCGTCCAGTCCGCTGTCGATGAACCGGGACCACAAATGTGAAAATGATACTGGGGTTGAGTTGACCAACAGCAGCGATGAAAGGTCAAAGGTTGCCTACAGAACTAGTATGCTGGAGTCAATGGACCGTAGCCATTACGATAACGTTTTTATTACGGAAAAGGAGTTGAGCATTGTTGCTGACACGCCTACAAACAAGTCCGCACTACAGCGCAGGTACCAGATCAAGAAGGTTCCCACTCCTCAGCCACGCAAGACATTAAAACACCTCTCCTGGCTCAAACTGGAGGACAGTACTGTTGGTTTGTATATTTGGTATACATTTTCCTCATTCAAGTAAAACATATTTTAAAAGTCCAGGACCAAGGTTGTCATGAGGTCTAAAGTACAGTATTCCATAACATTTGAAATCAAGTAGATTGAAATCCTGGTTCATTAAGGGTCAATGTTTGTCATATTTCTTAAAAGGACCCTGAATTAATATTATAATAGTGCTACCAAGGTATGCTAATTATTGGAAGGAAATCTTTTAAGACAAAAAGAACAATTTTCTAAACAAAGATGTTTTTCACATCTTTCACTGTTTAATATGGTTAGAAATAAATAATTTTGTATGCAACATTAATAATGGGTTTTTAGGTCACCTGAGCTTTAGCTCAAGTGACCTATTGCTATCCGTTTTCGTCCGTCGTCGTCCGTCGTCCGTCGTCCGTCGTCCGTCGTCCGTTAACATTTTACATTTCAAACTTAAAGTCAAGTTCTGCTGGGCCGATTGAACTGAAAGTTGGTAGGAATGATCGCCTCATGGTCCTGACAAAGTGTTGTTATTTTTCGGGTCGATCAGAAATCCAATATGGCCGCCACGGCCGCCATTTTGAAAACCTATTTCAAACTTAAAGTCAAGTTCTGCTGGACCGATTGAACTGAAAGTTGGTAGGAATGATCGCCTCATGGTCCTGACAAAGTGTTGTTATTTTTCGGGTCGATCAGAAATCCAATATGGCCGCCACGGCCGCCATTTTGAAAACCTATTTCAAACTTAAAGTCAAGTTCTGCTGGACCGATTGAACTGAAAGTTGGTAGGAATGATCGCCTCATGGTCCTGACAAAGTGTTGTTATTTTTCGGGTCGATCAGAAATCCAATATGGCCGCCACGGCCGCCATTTTGAAAACCTATTTCAAACTTAAAGTCAAGTTCTGCTGGACCGATTGAACTGAAAGTTGGTAGGAATGATCGCCTCATGGTCCTGACAAAGTGTTGTTATTTTTCGGGTCGATCAGAAATCCAATATGGCCGCCACGGCCGCCATTTTGAAAACCTATTTCAAACTTAAAGTCAAGTTCTGCTGGACCGATTGAACTGAAAGTTGGTAGGAATGATCGCCTCATGGTCCTGACAAAGTGTTGTTATTTTTCGGGTCGATCAGAAATCCAATATGGCCGCCACGGCCGCCATTTTGAAAACCTATTTCAAACTTAAAGTCAAGTTCTGCTAGGCCGATTGAACTGAAACTTTGTAGGAATGATCAGCTCATGGTCCTGACAAAGTGTTGTTATTTTTTAGGTCAATCAGAAATCCAATATGGCCGCCACGGCCGCCATTTTGAAAACCTATTTCAAACTTAAAGTCAAGTTCTGCTGGACCGATTGAACTTAAAGTTTGTAGGAATGATAGACTCATGGTCCTGACAAAGTGTTGTTATTTTTCGGGTCGTTCAGAAATCCAATATGGCCGCCACGGCCGCCATTTTGAAAAACTATTTCAAACTTAAAGTCAAGTTCTGCTAGGCCGATTGAACTGAAACTTTGTAGGAATGATCAGCTCATGGTCCTGACAAAGTGTTGCTATTTTTCGGGTCAATCAGAAATACAATTTGGCTGCCATGGCCGCTATTTTGCTACTAAATTCTAATAGGCCGATCTCACTTAAAATTGGTCTAGGAATGATCAGCTCATGGTCCTGACAAAGTTAAGTTAACATTATACTATTTTTTACTCAAATTGGTACATATTTCAACAAAAAAAATAATACTGTAGACTCAGGTGACCGTTAAGGCCCATGGGCCTCTTGTTTTAACAAAGGTTGAAATGAAATTTTAGTGAAAGCTATTAGATCTTATCCTTGGGTAGGTAGGCTCCCTTAATCAAGTTAAGAAACAAATATACTGAGCTGTACTGGTGATATTTCTAAAAAAAATAAATATCAATTGTGTGCACAGAATTTCTGTCGAAAAAAAAGTACACTAGCTGCATGTAATTTCACTGTGTGACTACAGACAAGTCATTTCAAGGAAATACCAGAAATCAATAGTTTATCATTCGGTAGAAAATTGCTTTTCTTCACCTACAAAATGTCAGATCATTTGAAGAAAGAAAACTTAATCTGCACACATGAATGAGATTTTTGGAACAGGCTAAATAATTCTATTACTGCTGCATGTTTTCAATTACTGCAACCATCCCAGATTTTGCCTACTCTGTTTTGTGAAGTACAGGTTTATTTTTGTCTTGCCGCGACGAAGAAGTGGAAGCAAGACTAAGGGGTTGTTTTTAGCCTTGAGTATAATCCAATGGATATTTTCATGGTTTGATTGTTCCAGGTGTTCAATAAAAATAAATGTGGCAATTTTACATTGTCAATGATACTTCAGTTTATATATATATATAGAATTTCAAAATCACCTGCATGTTTGTGCACTGATTAGGTTAAAATGATATTATGAAAATTTCTTCATGTAAAGAATTGCTACAGGGGATAAGCCAAAATATGATGAACAGAGGGGAAAGTAGAGATTGTTTTTCTTATTTCGTAAAAATGAGACCAGATCTCAGAATGAAAAAAAATGGGTATAAAATGTATATTACTGATAAGGCCAAAAACAAAAAAGTCTGTTTAGGGTTGCATGGGCAAAAAAACAAGGGTAGGAAGATGTTTTTTTTGTTTGTATATTTTGTGATTATATATGACCCTACTATTGTATGTAAAACAAAGAATTATATAAACAGGGTTCCTTTGGAGGCAAATTGTGCTCCATATGCTGACATTTAGCGCCAACATGGAGCTAGAAGCCATTTTGAAAGGCAAGGAACCTTCAAAAATTCGAAAATCAGTGTTTTTTTGTTTGTTTTTTTTAATTTTTTTTTTTTCATCAAAAAGTTTTGGGTTGGGGGTAAAAAGCTAGGGTCAGTCGGGAACCTTAAACAGACATATTTATTTTTGGCCTGACATATATTTTCCACTTGGGCGAAGTAAATGTGGTTTGTTATCACTCAGCATCGTAGCTATAGCCTGCTTTCCTTCTCTACAGACCTACATAAGGACAGTGTCTGGATGGTGTCTGGAGGGAACCAGCGTGTGTCACCAGACTTTGATGATTTGGAGCGACTCTTCCAGGTGCAGGAACGACACAATGAAGACATGAATGAGGTATTAATTAATGATGAGTATTTATGAGGTATTAAAAAATTAATGTTAATTAATAAGGTATTAACCCTTTTACCACTGTAGACCATAATGGACGCATTCATATCTAGAATGGTAGAGTCTACTAAAGTTACATAGGGGTGAAAGGGTTAATATGTAGTACTGAGTATTAATGTGGCATTACCTAATGAATTTTAATGAACTAGGAATGAATTTATAAAGTATTAATATTTTTGAAACAACTATTGTAGATTGATAACAGTAGCCATGTTAGTACTGAACACATGATACATGTATTGGTAAACCCATCGGCTATACACAATCTTTAACTCATTCACCCCTGAAGACACATTTGAACTCTTCCAATTCAAAGGTTGGAATAGGTCATTATGAAATTTCAGGGGTGAATGAGTTAACACTCTGCCTGTCCGAATGGTAAAATTTGTTTTGCTTCTTACACACTATAGGTTGATCAGTGTATATCAGCAACAGGAATTCATGTACATGTACCTGATTTGACATAAAACCCTCAAAGATGCTAAGATTTCAATTTTGAATGCAACCCAGTCCGACGTCTGTTTATGTAGTTTTCAGTAAATATCTAACTCTGGTATAATCCAGTCCGAAGTCTGTTTATTTTGTTTTCAGTAAATATCTAACTCTGGTATAATCCAGTCCAAAGTCTGTTTATTTTGTTTTCAGTATAATATCTAGCTCTGATGTAAAAAGTAGAACTAAATTGAATGTTTGTGTTGACAAGGTGATCATACTGAGCCCACAGACACGTAGAAACCTAAACTTGTTCCTGGGTCGGATGGAGATCAGTGCTGAGGAGCTGATACAGAGTCTGGAGTTGGGAAACTCTGTGGTCGTCAATGTGCCAACCCTTCGATACCTTCTCCAAGTGCTGCCTCAACCCCAGGAGGTAGACCTTTTTTTCTCTGTATTGAGTTTTTTAAGAATTTTACTCTGATAGTCCTCAACAAGTGTAGGTATATATTGAGCTTACTGATCAGACCCGGTCACATTGCATAGATGTTTTCAGAGCAGCATTAAATTTTTTTTAATGATGCTCGGAAGAAAAGACATGATAGTAAATTTCATGTTCCCGTGATAGGTTATGTTCTGCACAGCTTGTGTTTTTTTTCTGGATCTGTTTTTTTTTGACATAATTTTTGTGTCGCCTGCGAAAAGCTGGTGACACATAGGTATTGCTATGTCGGCGGCGGCGGCCGCACAGATGTTTTCGTGCGATAACTTGAGTTTCCTTGGGGTGATCAAACTCAAACTTCATGCAGTGCTTCCTTACCAAAAGTGCTTGCTTGGGATTGCTTTTGAGGTCCGAAGGTCAAACGTCAACGTCACTGTTACTATAAATAGAAAATCTGTTTTCGTGTGATAACTTGAGTTTCCTTGGACCAATCAAACTCAAACTTCATGCAGTACTAAGCATACTTGCATTTTCAAGATTTTTTTATGGATACCAATGAGGCAATGCTGCTCTTGCTTGTGGACACCATATGGAGTGGAATTGAGACAATGAGCATCCATAGCAAGTTCCTTAAAACTCAGAGTATTCTTCCCAGAATAACAGATTATATAACAAAATGATGCCATCCAAAAACATAATCTATGATTATTGCTTACTTTTAACATTATTTCTTGAAATGAAAAAGGTATCTATTTCCTCGTAATCTCCCAGCTTCCTGCGCAGGCGACACATCCACTTCCGTGGAATTCTTGTTTAAAAAGCATAATCTTGAAAATATTTTTCTTTCTGTAAAATCACAATATTAATGCATATACTATAACACATTTCATGTACTGTATTAATTTTGCATTTTGTTTTGCAAAAGAAAAACCAGCATTTATGCAGAAAACTATGAATTCATTTTATATATCCTCATATTAAAAATTCATCTCAAATTACATCAACAAACCCAATTTCCATGTGTAAAAGTTTTTATAGTTCATACAGCTAAAGATCATGAGGAATATACATGCATGTAATGTGGACTTAGAAATCACCCAACTTACCATTAGCTACGAGCTTAGTTCTTCTTTAGATGTCATCAGTTTCAAATCAGGTTTCCAAGTGTCGATACAATAACGAGGTTCCCCACCGTCACTTTGTGGCCGGTCCTAAAACCCAGAGCTGCGCTGCATTTCCCCACGCTGTAAACTATAACACATGTATGTCAAAAGTTTCAGGAAGACGGTCTGTAAACTGCTTTTAGTTTATGCTGACCGTTTTAACAAAATCCTTCCAGATCACCACACTACAGTGCTTTGGCGGTCAGAGACACGAGCTCGGAATGCCAGAACAGTTTGTGCTTCTCCTGGCTGACATCCCTGACTACGAAATCCTCATTCAGGGTCACCTGACCAAGGCAGAGTACACTTCAAGCCTCCAGAAACTGAAGAGCTCGCTAAATGTGATGATAATGATGTGCAAAAAGATCATGCAGAATAATGAACTTAAAGAATTTTTACACTTTGTCCTGCTGATCGGTAACTTTCTAAATCATGTAAGTGTTTTCTTTTTTCAAATCTGAAGTTAGATATTATGTTACTATTCTATGAACTTTAAAACTACTATTTTATGGTGAATAAACTGTCTATGTTCGTGTGATCTGTCAGTATTCAACCAGATACTTTTAAAAATCAATCACCTGTAATAAAACTTAACAATAATACATATTTATATATACAATTTTATCAACAAACTTACACAACTTTTAAAAAGGTGAAAATTAGAAATAGCTTTTAGGGAATTTTTATTTAATTGCCAACTGTAAAATTGGTTTATTAAAATGGTGCCATACAAGCTAGACAACTGTAGGTACAAGCTTCAGATCACTATATGTACATTCTTAGTGTGGAAATACTTAACGAAACACTGATAATGATGTTTAAGTGATATAAAATTATTGTATTTTTCAAAGAGCAATATAAAGTTAAGAGCAATTTATTTTTTTGAGAATATTAAGTATTCTTTCTTGACTTGCTAAGCTAGGAGGTGGCATTGTTCGAAATAAACATTGTCTAAGTTTGGTCCTTTAAGATTGCTTGCATTATCTTTGTGTACATTTTTATCATGATTGCTTTAGGGATGTCTGCATGGAGATGCTATGGGATTTAAGATGTCGAGTCTGGAGCGCCTCCTGGATGTAAAGTCTGCCCTGCCCAACCGGTCACTGCTCCACCACATTATCAAGATGGCCGAGGAGAAGGACAAAGTCATGCTGAAGTTCATTGATGACCTGCTCCCTCTAGAAAAGGCAGTCAGGTACTAAGGGGAGACCATCCATGTTAGAAATAGTTTGACAAAATTTTGTCACTATTTTCATAATTACATCTTTTGGTGCAAGCATTAATGATTTTCAAATAATAAATGAAGTTTAGAGCACACCCCCAATGTTTCTAATTGAATGTCGTAAGAGAAACATTTATTGCACATATCATGATGCGATTTCATTCTAGAGGTGGTTTGTTGTATTTTGATTCAAAATATCATTAATGTAAACCAGAATTGATGATGTCTATACATAATTATACTAGCTACAGGTACATGCTAATAGAACTACATCATGACTGCATTTGTTTATCGTGATCCAAACGGTTGGACCACTGTTGTTCGTTTATGAAATATGGTCGAACCTAGTATTCTAATGCTGCTTTCATGTGAGCCTTGACAAAGCCTTGCAATGCCTTCATATACATTTGCAGGTCCTCCAGGATTTTTACCTGAAAATGTTATATTTAAAAACAGACAAACTGGTTGAACTGGATACGAGTCGTCAACTTGTGGATGATTTTATTATTATTAAACATAAGAAGAACTCATGAAATATATATAAATAACTTATTAATACTGTGTTATGCAGTGTCATAAAGCCATCACATAAATTATGTTTATGTAATGTGTGTAATATCACTCCGGAAATGACGTCCCAATCGAATAGGAGCAATCAATGTGACGTCACGTCATGTGAAGCGGATGTAATTTTCAACCTTTCTCAGGCGGCCAAGTGCAAAATACTCGTTTCAGATCACAATTATACAGTTTACTTTGTATTATATGATAAAAAGAATCTGTCATTTGTTTCCCTCTGATTAGATTTATGATACTCGTTTTGGATTTTTATACATATTATGGTATGGGGTTGTCTGTCCAACGTAAACTTTTGTTTGTCCGGCAATCTCCTCCTACATTTTTCAACCAATCTCTTGGAAACTTGGTATACATTATAATCATGATATGAAGTTGTGTCTCTATTAGAAGAATTTTGATTCAACAATTTATGCAAAAGTTATTGCCCTTTGTTCATTTCAGTATTTTATTTTTTGTCTGGAGATTTTCTCCTACATTTTTATAGCATGTCAGCTAACCACTCTTAGAATGATGCAGATCTTGTTTCAATGTAAGAAAGTATATAACACTATAAGGCATTCGATGGGCGTATATTGTTCCTCCCCACGTTACTCTTGTTCATATTTGCTCGCCAGAGGCTTGCAAACATGAAAAATCCAAAACATGTATCATAAATCTAATATGAAGGGAAACTTATGACAGATCCTCTATATATTTACCTATTTATTTATGATATTATTGTTATTCACTTTATTAATGGTTCTACTTTATTACCATCAACAGTTCCTCGCTGTACGACATGAAGGGGGAGATCTCCAAGTTTAACAAACAGCTGTGTTCCTTTGTCCAACTTTTGGCGTCAGGTGACCATCGGATGAAGACCAGATTCCACTCTTTCATTGAGGTAACTCTTTAAGAAAAATTTAAATTGAGCTTCATCTATGTTTAAAGCAAAAAATGTATTATATTAGTTCTAACCCTCTCACCCCTATGTAACTTTAGTGGACTCGACCATGCATTGATATGGATGGGTCCATTATGGTCTTCAGTGGTGAAAGGGTTTGAGTCAGAAATCATTTTCATATAATATCCCCTTGGCTACATTTGAATCCTCTTCAAAACACGAACTGAGATTTCTACCACATTTCAGATGCATTCCTGGTTTTGCTAGGAAAAATATAACCTAGGGAAAACAGCTCATATGTGCAATTTTACAAAATTAGAAAATATGTTAACATTTCGCAATTAGGTTGTTTGTCATCAAAGGTCATCTGACACTTTACACTGGGTAACCATGTCACAATAGTATTGTCATTAATTTTGGAACACACTGGTGATGGGATATTCCCTTGGGTTCACCATTACTGCAGAGTAGCTTACAGTCGGAAAGTGTGAGAGAAAATTTCTCTTGTTTGATGTTTTTGTAACTAGAGAAAAACCTCCACAATTAGGGCAAAATATTTGAGGTTTAGCACTCAGCAAAGCCTTGTACTGAAACTCAGAAATTTTACCCTTGGGTTGGGATTTTTCTGTCTATATCACACAGGGCTGAATGGAGAGAAATGCAATACAGTCATATTTTCAATCTCTTTTATCATAAAGAATCTGGTGTCCAGCACTATTACATCAACAATTTGGTTTCAGATTAAAATGGTGCTAGACATCAGGATTACAGGATTACATTAACCCATTCACCCCTAAAGTCACATTTGAACCTTACCAAATCAGAGACTAGGCAAGTCCAATTTATATATGTAGGGGTGAATGAGTTCAAGTTTCTGTATGATTAACACATTATTGTGCTTTTTTTTTAGGAAGTGAAGGTGGAGCTACGGGACATCCAGACATCCACCAACACACTGCGGGAGTCCACACAGCAGTTGGCTGACTATCTGTGTGAGGACCTCGGCCAGTTTGAGCTGGAGACCACTCTGAAGTGTCTACATACATTCTGTAAACAAGTCAGGAAATGTCAGAAGGTATGTAAGAGGTCACTGGGCACTGTAGACAGTTCAGGAAGTGTTAGAAAGTTAGACATTAAAGTGTTCAAAGAAACAAGTAATGTTTCACATCATTAAAATTATAACTGGTTTCTGCTTTCATAATGATGTTAGCAGACAATATTTTGCCATGCTTTCTGAATAATACAGTTTTTGACAGTATACTAGCTTTAAATTTTTTATTTTTTATTTTTTTTTAACGTCACATAATTTATTTGTAAAAAAGGTTTGCTACATTTACAATTAAAGGGTGAACATTGAAGTAGTCATCAAATGATGACGTCATATACAATTTAGACATTGGTGACTTTCCTCCGTGTTGTAAAATACAAGCATCACAATATCTTTAGCTTAATGATTTGATACATAATAGAAATTAATTGTATGAAGTTTGTAGATCAATGCATAATTATGAAGATCATTCTAATGTTGACAGTGCCCTAACAGCTACAGAATTTTAATAACTACAAGTCTGGTTTCATATACAACTGACTGATGTGTGTACTAGTACATTCTGGTATAACACTTGTATTTATTATTACACATATATATAACATACATACTATCACATACAGGTATTATACAAATATATAATATCACACACATGTATTATACATGTATATACTAGCACACACAGTTATTATACTCGGAAATTAATATCATAGATACATGTAGGTATTACACATGTATATACAATCACAAACATGTTAACACATGTACAATCAGTACATGCTAACACACTATTACACATGTTCTCTTATTTCTTTACGCATCTCATATTATTATAACTTACTATCTTAGTCATAAGATCATTTCTTCCCTTGTCAAGAGATATAAGATATAGAATATATACTTTCAATGAAAACAAGTCATTCAGAAGGTATGTATCACTAACCTTCATTTTTTAAATGCAATTATTGCAAAATCCTTTCATCAATAGTTCTATTAAAGCTATGATTTTTAGCTTTGCTCCTCAGTAGCAAGTTGCGGTTCATCTTTCATTATTAATTTGCCTGGTCTGAAGGTACAATGTGAGTTTATGCCTAGAGTCTGAACTTACATGTCTTTTAATGAGGATATTTCGCTACATACAAAGGTAAGTGATACAGGCCCTCTCGGCCTCTTGTATAACATCTAAAACTCCCAGGTCTAAGGATGCATACTTTGAAGTACATTTAGTTGAAATACAAGAGTGAGCATGACTTACTTTCAAGGTGAGAGGTCAAATAATTAAAAATAATCAAAAAGCTTCTGAAGAAATAAAAGTCCTAAAACCATGATATTTGGCTGTAAGCTTCCTGGGTTGGAGCCTTACCAAATAGTAAATAAGCGAATAAAAAAGACCTTGGCCTGATTTCAATGTCACAGAGGTTTGAATATGTCAAAAACTTGGATGGAGCTTGACAAAGTTTATAATATTTATATAGAACACATATTTAATTAAGTATGTAAAGAGTAGTTGTCTACATGTATACACTAAACAGCTTATATAATCAGGATTGGTATTCACACTATATACACTTCAAGAGTAATACAGAGTAATATTTACATATATATACTTTACTAGCTTTAAATTTGATTCTTAATTTTAAATGAATATATTTGTCTTGACAGGAAAATGAAAGTTTTCAGAAGCAGACACAGTTGGCAAGAAAGAAAACGGACATGAAATGCTTGACAAAGAACAGATTGCTCTCTTTGGAGTTTGGTAAAGATGCAGGTATATATATTAACAGAGAGCATTAATATAATCCACAGACTTTAGAGAGGAATCTTTTCTACAGCTAATTATATAAGTACAACAACAACTATAAGGGATGTTGATGTTTATCTAAATGAAATTTTTATGTTCCTGCCATTTTATATTGTGGACTTCATTTAAAATCTGCTTATGAGCTTGCTAAATTACTTTGATTGTGAAATTGTACACCCCTGCCTCGCATAGGAGATTTATAGGGGCTCTTTATCCTGATATGACTTCACATTTATTTAAATCTGATTATAATACATGTAAAGTGAAGGAGATTTTACATTTGAAGTCTAGATGATCTGTTGTGTATCTACAGCAGACAAAAATAAAACATTAAAGAAATACAAAAAATAATTTCATTAAGTAATATAATTCTTCCATATAAACATTTTTGGGAAAGGGGGTACTTTATGTTACACTCATCACCCACAATGACTTATTTCCCTGTCTTCACTGCTTTAATATTCTCAAACAGTCATTGTCAACCACTTTTGGAAATTCCAGATTTTCTCAAAAAGTAGAACTATTTTGATATTATCGTAAATATAAACATTCAAGCATATCGGTTCACACCGGTGACTTCCATGTGAACAAGTTTAATCTTGTGAATAATATCTGAAATGTTTTACAGGGGCAAGCTCCTCTATGATGGAGGACAGGAACAAAATCCTGGAGAAGATACTGGATGACCTTCACCGTGGTAACTTCCGCCCAACTGTGACACTGGAGGTTCACACCCCCGACACGGACATCGACCCACTGGAGTTCAGCGACATCAGTTTTGTCGGCAGCCCCTTTCCTATGCGGCCTACTTGTGAAGCCATGGAGGAAGACTTCCTCACCCCGCCAAGCAAAACTGTTGGACCTCGCACAAGTTCAGGTACACCACCACCCAATACCAAGCAAAAACAATTGTTGCCTGCTACCTGCTTTACTATTGTACAATATTGCTTGAGCCTGCAGAGATTGCTGGGAACTTGATAACATTTGATCAACAGGTGACCAGGATAATTCCCATATCCATTGCTTTTTATAGAAAGTGAACATGTCAAAATATGTTATGTTTTGTACTGATCAGTGCAAATACTATATAAGATTTAGTAGACCCTATATATCTATACTGGACAGATTGTTTTGTGTTCTAAGATTTTTTTTTTTATGGCATAAGCTAAAGGTTGGAAACCTAACAGATAGGTTTAAGGGTGTCCGTGTTTCACTACGGCCGCATTTGTTTACCACAATTCAAACGGTTGAACCGCTTGGAGCAGAGTTGTTTGTTTATGAAATAAGGTTGGACCTAGTAATCTGATGCTGCTTTCAGGCAAGCCTTGACAAAGCAATGCAATGCTTGCATTAACATTTGCAGGTCCACTAGGATTTATACCCAAAAATGTTACATTTTAAAACAGACGAACCGGTGGAACCAGATGCATGAAAGGGGGCCTATGCTACAACATGTTGTTAATAACTTTAACATCTATGTATTTGTTACAGAGGCTGACATACTTGCAGAAGAATCACAGCAGGATATTACATTAGAGTTCTCTAAAGATTACATCGAAAACTATGATGAGGAACCCAAAAACTGGGTGGTAGCCAAAAGTCTAGTGGACAGTTTAGAACCCATATCAGACCGTCACCTGGACATGGTGAAAAAACAGACCAAACACCAGGGACACAATCGTAGTCGGAGTGACCTAGCTACTTCCATTCTAACAACAGAAAAATGGATGAAGTATGAGGAGATACGACACCAGGAATCCCTGCACGAAGACATTGAAGCTCCTTTGGCCGAACCCGAGAGTATGTGTGCTATCTCAACGTTAAATCTGGAAAATCACGGACGATTTGTCGACAGGGATGATGTGAAATTATTTGAGGAACAACAGAAGGAGATGAAGGAGGATAATGTATGTTCCGTAGAAGAGGGGCCAATCTTGAAGTTGCCACTCTCTGAACTTTTACCAGACATGAAAAGCCTTATGGATACTAAAGAGATGTCGTGCAAAAGGCCAGAGAAAAGGTCGTCTGTTAGTAACTTTTTCAACAAAATATCGCGTGCAGTACTAAAACCAAAGAATGTCTACAGTACTCCCGGATCTGCTGTGTCCTCTAACACAAAGAGTCAGAAAGATGGCTTCCGAATGTTCGGGCGTAGGAAGACAACATCGTCGTTAACATCAGATAACAAAGAGAACATAATTGTGGCCGAGCGCATGTCCCAAAGATTATCCTCGGTCGATAAAAAGTTTGCTGTACAAGAACTCCGAAAAATTAAACACAACAAGCTGAGAGCCTCAAAAGGAAAATAACTACCGTAGATATTTAACAATTTTTGTCTTATTACGCTTCTAAAAGAAGGGGAAGGAACTCCCCCAGGGATGCAGGTTGTCATGAAATAGCTACCACATTTGTGTTCAGAATAAGAATTATACCTCGTGTGTTTGTGGAATATAACTTTGTTGCTCAAATGTGCAATTTTCAGTTTTTGGTTTGCAGTATCAGAACTGTCTGGTACATGCTTATTAGAATGTCTTCAGATGCAAATATTTTCCAAAACAATTTCTTTGCTATAAGTATAACTTCAAGCTGTGCTTGCATGCAGGGAGATAAAAGGGTACAGCTAGACGTAGTCGGAATTTTGTAACTGGAGGCATTTCTGAACCGAAAAAATCCAACAATAGTATATTTGCCTTAAGAAGGTGTACATGTAGACAGTTTGGATCACTGCATTTTGTTTGCAATTAATAAGTGCTCAATTTATTTTCTTAAATCTGAGAATGTTTTTCGTGGTTTCATGAAGCTTTTGCTCACTAGAAATTTTATTTGTGAGAATGTGTTACATTTGTACTTATGTAAACCTGTTTAACCTGTCTTTTATAGATGATTGTGTATAATTGTGTGTTTTGTGTAGCGGGGTAGATGTAGTAGACATAGGGCTTAAACGGCGTGGTTGATTATATCAAATACCGCTTGTGATCATCTAGTCATTTTTTCTCATAACATTTGTTAAAAATCTGTTCCTGCAAAAAATAATCACGGATAAATTATTGGTTTAAGTTTAATGTAAGGAGTTATACTGTGATAACTGTTTAGCAATCAAAAGTTTTGTTTCAATTTATGCATCTTACTATGTGGACAACTTAACACAGATTTTTGGATTGTGGCGGAGTCGATATACAGTTAAAATATTAAAGCATAAATTGATGTGGTTTTTTTTCCAATCGTGTAGTACTTGTAATATGAAGATGTTAAACATTTTAAGAAATTATTTTAAATTAACTTGATATGAAATCAAAAGGATTGTTTCCAAGTTGTGCAGTATTTGCGTTTATATAGTTATCGTCAGTGAATATGTACATAATTACGGTAATGTTTGTTAGAATACTGTATACCGGGAAAGTTTCGCTGCAGTTTAATTTTCGCCTTTTGCGAACATTGTTATAAAGTCAAATTATCATTGCAGCGAATTTTCTTAATAAGCATATATAATAAACATAGTTATTAAATTTGAATGGCAAAAAAAACACTTTGCGAAAACTGATTTCATGAGCGAAAGGCGAAAGTTTTACTGGGTGAAAATTTCCCGGTATACAGTGGTTGTTTTTACATGATAGTCTTTCACACACTAGGTGCTTTCACTTACCTTTGTTATCTGTAGAGTAGAGTTTGTACAATATGTGATAATAACCTGTCTTGTTCACATCACATTCCGATCATTCCATTTTTTTTCATATTTTTTTTGCATATTTTGTATTAAAAAACGAAAACTTGGCACACATTTCCTAGCAATGGCACATATTTCCTAGCTCTCTACCCCCATCTTAGAAAATAACTTGATATTGGTCATGAAGCTATTTGTAGAAAGTTTTTTTTGGCTTTTTTATATGTAAAGGAACTATTAATGAAATGAAAGGTTTCTCTTTGTAAAAGTGTGATAGGGTTTTAACATTTTGTTAGCTCACATATTCGGAATATATATATAGTGGATTTACTATAAATTTATAGGTTACTGTTTTTTTTGTATAATACTTTGAACTCCCTTATCGCCATTTTTACAGGTCAAAAGTAAACTTGTTACGCTAATTAGGCCTGAAAATCAACTTTGTACGAAGGATGGCTTTATCTCATATTTGATATTAAAACATTGAAAATATTTTTATTGTAAAACAAAAAAATGAGTTTTCTGGAAAGAATAACCAAGATACTTGATCTGGAATAACTGAAAATTAAGAGCTGAACACTGCTATGGGTAAACTTGCTTGTAAAAAAATGTGGGGAAAAAACATTCAGTGTGCTTGATTTCAAACCAACATTGATCAACATTTTAAAGAATTAATTGCTGATTATCTTCAATGCTTTTGTAACTCACCAGTATATATTTTTAGTAGAAAACTTCATAATTTGGATATCTTTGACATTTATATATGAAAATATTACTTCATTAATGATCCATTACCCTTAAATGAATTGAATAGCACTGAAAAGTAGATACACTGAATTAAGAACCTTTATCTTTTAGACATATGCAAGCTGATCACCTCTTACAGATTAAACTTGACTGCAAGAACACTTCTGTCTTTTTAGCATTCTCTCTCACTTGTAAGCTTTAAGAGATTTTATCGGCTTTAACAAAAACTTGTCATCTTGTTACTTAATTTTGCAACTTGGTACTTCAACTGAATTATAACACCTACAGCAATAGAATTATATCTTAACCAATCTAACTCCATTTTTTTTGTGTTTTGCATAATACCTGGTTTAACATAGATGGGTTTATTAGATTCCAGCACATTTTCTTGCCATAGTTTTGACGCCTTATCTCACCTTTTGTCTGTTTAGAATTAGACGCATCAATCATTACACAATGATAATGTCATTATGTTAATTTGTTATTTCATAAAATGTTTTTGTTTATTTTTGTGCAATTTTGTGTGTTACTTTGGTTGTATAATGGTTGTGATTTGTCTTTACATTATAAACATACACTCAAACTGATAAACAAACTGAATACAGTAAAACCTCGTTATACTGCCATCATTTGTCCTGAGAAATTTTGGCGTAAAAAAGGGGTTTGGCGATAAAATGAGTTTTAATGAATCATATAAAGGAATTCATATTAACAATAAGAGAGAAAAAAAGAGACATTGAAACAGGTGGCAGTAACTGAGGTGACAAAGTAAACGGGGGGCATTATATCAAGGTTTTACTGTATATAATTTTACATGGCACAGTGTACAATATTTTTACATGTTGTAGAAAACAAAGATGTTGAGAGCAAGCTTGTTAATAGAATAAATAGATCATTTTGATTATCTTTAAATGTAATTGTTGTGTCAGCTTATATTATCAGACATATTATTAATATTTTGAAGCGATACTTTTCATAACTGGTATGTGACAAATTAAACAGCCAAGTACATTTCACTTAACCCTTTCACCACTGAAGACCATAATGGACTCATCCCAATAAATGCATGGTAGAGTCCACTAAAGTTACCTAGGGGTGAAAGGGTTAAGCATTCAGCCATCTGATAATTATGAAACACTTATGTTATTGTTTTACCCTGTTTTCCTTCCCCCCTCCCCCCTCACAGTGAAGTTGTCTGTGCAGTTTTTCTCAAAATTACACGTCAGATTGAAATAAATCGATGCGTAACTTTATTAATATGAGTATCGGTGAGCATGCGTAGATGTGGTGAACATTTTGTTTTTGACACTGTGCATCCAAGATGGCCGCCGTGATGGTCTCTAATTAATTAGTCCAAATTCATAAATATTGATCAATATTGACCAAATTTGGTATGTAAGTGTATTGTTCTGTTATGAACAGTATATTGATTACAGTAAGTATCAGTTATGGCTTGTGGGGAAGGGTTGTAGGTTTGGTGGTTTCTGTAGCGGCCGTTGTTGCAAGGTTTCTTTGGGTGTTTTTTTTTTTGTGATGCAGGCGTTATTTTGCAAAGTATTCAAAGTGGATTAAAAGAACAAATGTAAGAAATGAAAATATTCTACACATCTGGGGATGTATTTGTCAATACGAGTTACTCTATCTTAATACCAGAGGAATACATGATACGATGGATGGTATTACATGTAATTACTTACATATTTCTTACAGAAGACATCTTGTCAATAGCACAATATAATTTTTTGGCAATTTATTTTCTAAATGTAGTTAATTTCACTTTTTGATAAAAAAAAATCCAATGTTGGGAATATAATATATGATAGGAGATATTGATTGGAAACAATAAAGGTATGTGTGTTTTTTTGGCAAGGGACAAAATTGGCTCTATGTAATTTCAAGAACAACATTTTACAAACAATTGTCTTAGTAGTGCAAACCAACTGAATCTTAATATACTGATAATTTGCTTAGCATTGAAAATTGAATGTTATGTGTTACTATATGTAGTAGATTGTATGTCTGTTCACTTCAGTCAGTGTTAATCCCGTTATTACTACTAGGAATCTGTACTGAATTATACACTATTGTTTTCAATTATGTAAAATCCTTTGATTCATCAGTATTATTTTTTGTCATATACGATTTTTAAAACCTCTTTTTTTGGTGTTATTCACCATGACGTTTTTTCTTCTTCTAAATTTGCAGAAAAATGGCAATTTATCTTGGTAATAAATAGTACATGTATGTGTCGCAAATGCTGTATATTGATAAGAAATATGCAATTTACATGTATTTCAGAGATATCAAATAAAGAGGTTTGTTATGTTTTTTACAGTAGATTGTATTAAATGTACATGTATCAACTTTTGATAATATATTGCTATTATAAGTAATTTTATACCGTGTTTACACGCTTATATCACTAAAAATATGTATATTTCAGTGTGATATTTATATTAAATATTAACAAGGTTGTGGATTATATACAATATTATAGATATTCAAACATGTCACAGGGTTTCATAATTGATAAATCATTTAATTTTGTTAAAATATCTAACCAATTTTATCTAACCAATTTTTCTTTATGCAATGATTTGTCTTTATAAATGTACACCAATTTTGCTCATTAATATTATATACACCCAAACTTAAACCATTATATTAAGCAATATACAACCTATATGTGGTTAAATTAAATTCACAATTTTGCATTTATATTACTGGTACCGTATATATGTATGCTACATCTTAAGCTTCTGACCAGAGTTAGTTCCCTTACATCATGTCAATTATAGTTAGAATTTGTTTTGACATAAACTGCAGTGTCATTTGCTCCATCAACTTAAGACTTACTTTTACATGAGACTGACGATTGTTTGTCCAGTTTGAGTGCATAGACTGGCCCGAGCGATTTACTTGACGATTTTGATCAAGTGTACTAGCCTCTACAAGTGTGTAGCCTAGACTGGTCGATCCGATGGCACAGTGGATAGTGCCCTCTGCTTTCACCAAGACAGTCGAGGTTCAACTCCCATTTCAGATGTCGAGGGTACATTAATTCATCATTAGACTGGCCTTCGACTGACCACATTGATTCATCATTAGATTGGCCTTTGACTGACCACATTGATTCATCATTAGACTGGCCTTTGACTGACCACATTGATTTATCATTAGACTGGCCTTTGACTGACCACATTGATTTATCATTAGACTGGCCTTTGACTGACCATATTAATTCATCATTAGACAGACCTTTGACTGACCACATTGATTCATCATTAGACAGACCTTTGACTGACCACATTGATTCATCATTAGACTGGCCTTTGACTGACCACATTGATTCATCATTAGACAGACCTTTGACTGACCACATTGATTCATCATTAGACTGGCCTTTGACTGACCACATTGATTCATCATTAGACAGACCTTTGACTGACCACATTGATTCATCATTAGACTGGCCTTTGACTGACCACATTGATTCATCATTAGACAGACCTTTGACTGACCACATTGATTCATCATTAGACTGGCCTTTGACTGACCACATTGATTCATCATTAGACAGACCTTTGACTGACCACATTGATTCATCATTAGACTGGCCTTTGACTGACCACATTGATTCATCATTAGACAGACCTTTGACTGACCACATTGATTCATCATTAGACTGGCCTTTGACTGACCACATTGATTCATCATTAGACAGACCTTTGACTGACCACATTGATTCATCATTAGACTGGCCTTTGACTGACCACATTGATTCATCATTAGACTGGCCTTTGACTGACCACATTGATTCATCATTAGACTGGCCTTTGACTGACCACATTGATTCATCATTAGACTGGCCTTTGACTGACCACATTGATTCATCATTAGACTGGCCTTTGACTGACCACATTGATTCATCATTAGACTGGCCTTTGACTGACCACATTGATTCATCATTAGACTGGCCTTTGACTGACCACATTGATTCATCATTAGACTGGCCTTTGACTGACCACATTGATTCATCATTAGACTGGCCTTTGACTGACCACATTGATTCATCATTAGACTGGCCTTTGACTGACCACATTGATTCATCATTAGACTGGCCTTTGACTGACCACATTGATTCATCATTAGACTGGCCTTTGACTGACCACATTGATTCATCATTAGACTGGCCTTTGACTGACCACATTGATTCATCATTAGACTGGCCTTTGACTGACCACATTGATTCATCATTAGACTGGCCTTTGACTGACCACATTGATTCATCATTAGACTGGCCTTTGACTGACCACATTGATTCATCATTAGACAGACCTTTGACTGACCACATTGATTCATCATTAGACTGGCCTTTGACTGACCACATTGATTCATCATTAGACTGGCCTTTGACTGACCACATTGATTCATCATTAGACTGGCCTTTGACTGACCACATTGATTCATCATTAGACTGGCCTTTGACTGACCACATTGATTCATCATTAGACTGGCCTTTGACTGACCACATTGATTCATCA